ATTGCTCCCACTGTATTGGTGTCCTACAAGATATTCTAATAATGTATGTGTGTACAATATGAATGTATATTCTATTTCTTCCTACAAATGAACACATTGTATAATGTATACAGTATCCTGTACTGTTTTTTTCATATAACCTATATATTGATACTAAAGAGCTTCTTTATTCTTTTTAATTTTAATACATATTATTTCATTGTATGGTTGTAATGTTAATTCTCATTGGGCATTGATTTATTGTGCATTACTGTTCTGGACACTATAGAGCAGCGAAGAAAGCAGACAAAACTCCCAGCCCTCATTGAGCTTTCATTCCATTTTCTTTTATTACTCCCAACAATGCTGCACAAATGTGCAAATGTCATTTTACACATGTGGAAGAATTTGTGTAGATAAATCCTTAGAAATGGAATTACTAGGTCTAAGTACAAATGCGTTTTTAAAAATTAATAGGTTTTTTTTTTTTTTTAATAATTTTTGAGTTTATAGAAAAATTAAGTGGAAAGTACAGAGAGTTCCCATATACTTCCTTACTCCCCTTCCCCCTTAGTTTCCCCTATTATTGCATTAGTGTGGTATGTTTTATTACAATGAATGAGTCAATATTGGTACATTATTATAAACTAAAGTCCATGGTTTATGTTAGGGTTAATTTTTTTTTTTTTTTTTTTTTTTTTTTACATTCTGTGGGTTTTGAAAAATGTGTAGTGACATGTATCCACCATCACAGTATCATACAGAATAGAATTAAAATCTTCTGTGCTCTGCCTATTCATCCCTCCCTCCTTTGTACCCTCTGAACTCCTGGAAACCATGGATGTCTTTACTGTCTCCTTAGTTCTGTCTTTTCTCCCAAATTGTCAGATAGTTGGAATCATACAGTATGTAGCCTTTTCAGATTGGCTTATTTCACTTAGCAGTATGTGTTTAAGGTTCTCCATATTTTTTCATGCTTGATAGTTCATTTCTTTTTAGAGATGAGTAATATTCTGTTGTCTGGATGTACCACAGTTTATTTATCCATTCACCTACAGAAGGACATCTTGTTTGCTTCCAAGTTTTGGCAATTATGAATAAAGCTACTATAAACATTCATGTGCAGATTTTTGTGTGGACGTAAGTTTTTGATTCACTTGAGTAAACATCCAGGAGCTTAATTTCTGGATTGTATGGTAAGAGTGTGTTTAGTTTTGTAAAGAAACCACTAACCTGTCTTCCTAAGTGGCTGTACCACTTTGCAGTCCCACTGGCAATGAATGAGAGTTCCTATTTCTTCATATACTTGTCAGCATTTGTTGTTGTCATTGTTTTCGATTTTAGCGTTCTAATATGTGTGGGGAGGTATCTCATTGTTTTAGTTTGCAATGCCCCAATGACATATGATGTTGAGCATCTTGTTGTACGCTTATTTGCCTTCTGTATATCTTCTTTACTGAGATAGCTGTTTAGATCATTTGTCTATTTTTAATTGTTGAGTTTTAAGAGATCTTTGTATATTTTAGATACTAGTCCTTTATCAGATATGTGTTTTGCAAATATTTTCTCTCAGTCTGTGTAGCTTGTATTTTCATTCTCTTTTGCAGAATAGAGTTTTTAATTTTAATGAAAACTTACCAATATTTTATCTGATGCATTGTGCTTTTAGTGTCTTATCTAAGAAGTCAGCGCTGGGCTGGCCCCGTGGCTTAGCGGTTAAGTGTGCGCGCTCCGCTGCTGGCGGGCCGGGTTCGGATCCTGGGTGCGCACCGATGCACCGCTTCTCCGGCCACGCTGAGGCCGCGTCCCACATGCAGCAACTGGAAGGATGTGCAGCTATGACATACAACTATCTACTGGGGCTTTGGGGGGAAAAATAAATAAATAAATAAATAAATAAATAAAAAAGAAGTCAGCGCCAAACTCAAGGTCACGAAATTTTCAACTATGTTATCTTCTCGGAGTTTTACAGTTTTGCATTTTACAATTAGGTTTATGAGCCATTTTGAGTTAATTTTTGAAAAAGGTATAAAGTGTGTCTAGATTTCTTTTTTTTTTTTTGCATGTGGATATCCACTTGTTTTGAAAAGACTGTCCTTTTTGCATTTAATTGCCTTGCTCCTTTGTCAAATATCAGTTGACTGTGTTGTGTGGGTCAATTTTGAGGCTACCTATTCTGTTGTGTTGATCTATTTGTTTATTTGACCACTACCACACTGTCTTGATTATTGTAGCCTTATAATAAGTCTTGAATTATAGACCAACAATGAACAATTAGAATTTGAAATTAAAAGCACAATACCATTTAGATTAGCACGAAACAAACAAATCCAATTTAGTTATATATCTAACAAAATATATACAAGAACTATATGAGGAAAACTACAAAAGTCTGATGAAAGAAATCAAAGAAAATCTAAATAAATGTAAAGGTATTTCATGTACATGTATAGAGAGACTCAGTATTGTCAAGATGATGTCAGTTCTTTCCAACTTGATTTATATATTTATTTAGCACAATCCCAATCAACGTCCCAGCAAGTTATTTTGTGGATATTGACAAACTGATCCTAAAGTTTATATGGAAAAACAGAATACCCAGAATAGCTACACAATATTGAAGAAAAATAAAGTCAGGACTGACGCTATCTGCAAGACTTCCTATAAAACTATAATAATCAAGGCAGTGTGTTTTGGCAAAAGCATAGACAAATATATCAATGGAACAAATTAGAGAGCCCGGGAGGGCGGGTTCCAATCCTAGTTCTGCTACTTACTAGCTATGACATTTTAGTCAAATCATTTCAGTTTTCCTCATCTATAAAATCATTATAAGGTTTGTATGAAGAATTAGTGAGATAATGCATGTGCAGCATTTGTTAGCACATTGCCCAGGACATGATAAGAGCTTCATAAATTTTAGCTATTGTACGTTTTCTAATTTGATCCTGACAAGATTCGTAAGAAAGAGGCAGATCAGGTATTATTCCCATTTTATAGATTAGGAAATAGAGTTTCAGGGCTATTAATATTTGACAAAGGTCAAATGGTTAGATAAATGGCAGCACCAGAACTATGATCTAGTCTAGAATTTCTTAATATTACTTATCTCAGTCTCGGATAGCAGGAAAAATTATGCCCTCAGAATAGATTTTTAAAGTGGCTGACAACAAAATTTAAAAATAAATGATGCAGGCAGTATTTATGAGCGTACTTGCATCCACGGTGAAAAAAAAAGTTGTTGTTAACCCAACTTTTAATTCCTGATATAAACTCATCTTCATCATGACACATTGTCCTTTTAATATATTGCCAGATATAATTTAACATTTTGTTTAGGACTTTTGCATGTATGTTCATGAATGATTTTGTCCTATGATTTTCCTTTTTCCTAATGTTCTTGGCAGGTTTTAGAATCAGTTTTTCTGGCATCATAAGTTGAATTGGGGTATGTTTACTTTTTTCGTATTCTCTGGAAGTTTGTATAAGATTGGGTTTTTTTTCCTTTAAATGTTTGGTATAATTCTCTAGTGAAGCCATCTGGATCTGGAATCATTTAGTGTGTGTGGGGAAATATTTTTAACTGTGGATTTAATTTTTTCAAGTAGTTACTGGACTTTTCAGATATTTTAAATGTAAGTTCGTTAGATACTAGTTATTAATTTATTAACTGAATTTATTGTTTGAACTGTAACAAAGCTACAACATTTTGAGCTTTAAAAACTTAATGCTAGATAGATATCACTTAGGGGTTTTTTTTTTTAACTGTGATACAATATACATAACATTAAATTTACCGTCTTAGTAATTTTTAAGTGTACTGTTCGGTAGTAGTAAAGTACATTCACATTGCTATGCAACTAATCTCCTAAACTGTTTTCATCTTGCAAACTAAAACTATACGCATTAAGCAAAAATTCCCCATTCTCCTCTTCCTCTAGACCTTGGCAACCACCCTTCTACTTTGTCGCTATGCATTTGACTACTCTAGGTGTTAATAAGTGGAATCATACAGTGTCTTTTTGTGACTAGTCAGTTTCACTTAGCATAACGTCCACAAGATGCATCTATGTTGTAGCATATGTCAGAATTTCCTTCCTTTTTGATATTCCATTTTATGTAAGTACCACATTTTGTTTATACATTCATCCATCAGTAGATACTTAGGTTCCTTTTGGCTGTTGTAAATAATGCTGCTCTGAGCATAGGTGTACAATTATCTCTTCAACACCTGCTTTCAGTTCTTTTGGGTATATACCCAGAAGTAGAATTGCTGGATCCTATGGTAATTCTATTTTTAATGTTTTGAGGAACCACAATACTGTTTTCCAAAGCGGCTGCACCATTCTACATTTCTACCAACAGAGGACTTTACAAATTTTATATATTTTTATGTGTCAGTAAGCTGTATTTCTCTAGAAATTTGTCTGTTTCGTCGAACTTTCAAATTTATTGATACAGTGTTTGTAATGTCTTCAGTATCCATAGTGATATCATTTTTTTCACTAATATTGGTTATTTAAGCCTTTTTTCTCCTGTTTTAAAAATCGATGTTGCCTGGAGTTTATCGATTTTAATTATCTTTTCAAATAATTGATTTTGTGCTTTGTTGCTCCTTTTCATTGTATATTGTTTTTTATTTTGTTATTTGCTGTTATCCTTATTATCTCCTATTTTCTTTAAGTTTACTTTGCTGTTGGTCTCACACTCTTTATCTCTGTGTGTGCTTCCTCATGCTCACCTGGGTTTATGTGATTGTTTTCCCTGCTTTCTACTCCTTCCAAAACAATTTTCCAGAAGTACTCAGTTTTTTTTGTTTGTGTGTGCATTTGTTTTAATGAGGAGAGTAAGTTGGGATGAAAGAAGTTGAATTGTTAGAAATGATGTCATCTTTCAGCACTAGGCTTCAACTGTTATCAGCTGTACTTAAAATTCTAACATACTCTGGTTGACAAGGTTATCAAATGCAGCTTGTAACAGTGTTACTCTTTTTTTTTTTTTTTTTTTCTCCTCCCTGGCAGGACCCGTTGGGGCCCAGCCCCTACTAATGGTGCCCAGAAGACCTGGCTATGGCACCATGGGCAAACCTATTAAATTGCTGGCTAACTGTTTTCAAGTTGAAATCCCAAAGATTGATGTCTACCTCTATGAGGTAGATATTAAACCAGACAAGTGTCCTAGGAGAGTGAACAGGTAAGAATCGTGCAGTCGTGGAGATCTTTTGCTGTTGGTATTTGCCTTTGCTTTAGTAATTATGTTTATCTTGTATATCTGAATAACAATGATAATGTCTAACAGTTCCACCAAGAACACATGGTAATTTGTTTTGAAATTGTACTCCAGAGGTGTGATGGTGGGAAAAATCTACAAACAATCTTGAAACTTTTCCATTATAACATGAGTTCATGTTTTCTCTGTGCTAATAGAAAAGGTCCAAATCATTTTTATATGCTCTTGAAATGAGACTGAGCATCTTTTCCCTTGCTGTTACGTATTATATCTGTGCTGTATATCTATATATATATTTATATTGCTACTGCCTTGGTTTCAGACCCTTATTTGTTATCTAGACTATTATAATGATCTTCTAATTGGTCTCCCCTAACATCTTTCTCTCTCTCCATTCTAGTTAATTATTCACACTTCTGACATAGTTAGCCTTTTAAATAAAAAAAATATGATTACATCACTCCCCTACTTTAAAATTTACTCAGCTCCCTATTGCTTACAGAATAACATCCCAAATTTAGTGCAGCATACCCTTCTTAGTTTGGCTCTAACCTATATCCTTTTCCATATTCTGCAGCTCTTACCTGGAATGCCCTCTCTGCCCTTGTCTATTTGGCAAACTTGTATTATTTTTCAAGACAAACCTTTTGAACTCCATAGTCAGATGGTAGTTCATTCTTCTATGACCTTGTAATACTTGGTGTACGCTTTTGTTGTAGTATTTTTAGTGCATTGTAATTATTTGTTACTCCCCTCTTCTCTCAGTATAACCTCTTCATGAAAAGAAATATTCTTTATCATCTTTGTAGCCTTGATCTTAGCTCAATGATTGGCACATAATAAGTACTCAGTAGAGTGAATGAAGTGCTTATAAAAGTAAAATGGGGTGAGTGTGATAGTGGGGGACAGGTGAGAGAACTAGACATTATAGAGAGCTTTGTATGCCTAGATGTGGATTTTCAGTGCCCTACCCTTCTCTGCCAGGATCTGTAGAGTAGTCTTTGTCTTAGTCTCCTTCGTTTCTCTTTTGTCTCTCTTTCTGTTAGCCACCATCTTCTTACAGGGACATAACTCTCTCAGGCTGCACTCTTAATTTCTTTTTTTCTTGGTTCTTAAAACTGGGGTGTAGTAAATTTGAGTGAAGGATAATCCTGACCCTTCTGGTAGATGTTTATATTTTAAAAAGGCATTTATTAATCTAAGTAAATCTCTTAACTGATAGCATGTCTAAAGCAGATATTACTGAGCTGAATTCCTTACTACTGCCTTTCCACCTTGCCCTGCCTAAGATTATCACCCCTAACTTTAGCAGTATATAGCTGAGGATTGTTATAGGTTATTTATTGAATAGGAGAATTATATGACTAAAATGTTGGGAAAACAAAAATCACTTGAAGATAAAATAAGTTGAAATTGAGGGTGTGGTGTGAGATGGAGGCTTGGGGCTTAGAGGAATGTCAGTTGAGGATTTTTTTAGTATTTCAGATGAGATATGAGGAACTGGGGCAGTGGCAGTAATATTAGGTAAAAAAGAACAAAATTGTTTATTAGATTTGTTTCCTCGCCCACCTAACTTTTGTGTTGGTAGGGGGTAAGGGAGTAATTGTGTATTATATGTGTGTATATGAAGTTGTGTAGCATAGAGGTTCACATGTAGATGCTCAACATGTTGGTGAAGTTTAAGAGGAAAATATATGTAATAAATTAGTGTGGTACATTCTGATTTTAACTTATGATCCTGTTGACATCTCTAATTATATTTCATCTTTAGGTTGTTTTATCTTATTATATTATTTGCCACTAGGAGTAAAGGATCTGTAATTTAGATGTTTCCAAATGGAAATTTTTTATCATGTACCTTTTATTTGAGTTTTGATAGGAGCTAAAGGACTTCTTTAGGACTCTGAAAATGGCATAAGTCAACTTTATACTTTGTTAATAATATTGACTTGATTTTATGTCAACATCGGCAAAACTTATTCCCTTTATTTTCCTCAAAAGACTAGCTTTTGTCTTCACATTTTGCAATATTTCTACATAACTAGTCAGTTAAAAATTGTTGGGGCTTCTGAAGTTGGTTCAGTTCCTACATTTCAACAACTGGAATTCTAAAAGTTAGAAGAAACTAGATAGAACTTTCTAATTCCTTTTCAGTATTAGCTAAACAGTTATGGGCCAAAATGCAGCAGTATTTAAATCAACACATATGAAGTTTCTCTTGTCCGTATGCCACGTGCTCAAATATTTGGCACTATGGTATTAATCATAATAGTAAAATGATGTATCGTGCCAAGCAAGTTTCCACTTGAGTCAGAGGAGTTTTCCTGGACAAAATATCCAGGAAATGCTTGTGAATCATTTTGTGAGTCAACTTCTCTACTTCAGACCTGCTGTCCGTTTTTTGTTTTTTTTGTTTTTTTTTTTTTTGGTCCTTTTGTTATTCTTTTGGGGTGTATGTGTGTGTATTTTTTTCCTATTTAATGATTTTGATTGAAAATGATCATTTGGTAAAAGAGCATGTTTGTTAAGCAGATTTCATTTATTTATTTATTGTGAGGAAGATCAGCCCTGAGCTAACATCCATGCTAATCCTCCTCTTTTTGCTGAGGAAGACCGGCTCTGAGCTAACGTCTATTGCCAATCCTTCTCCTTTTTTTCCCCCAAAGCCCCAATAGATAGTTGTATGTCATAGTTGCACATCTTTCTAGTTGCTGTATGTGGGACACAGCCTCAGCATGGCCGGAGAAGCGGTGCGTCGGTGCGTGCCCAGGATCCGAACCCGGGCCACCAGTAGTGGAGCGCACGCACTTAACTGCTAAGCCATGGGGCCAGCCCTGTTAAGCAGATTTCAGATGTTTCTAGTTTTGTTTTGTTTTTTTACAAATGAATGGTCTCAAAATCAAATATTTTTAGAAATATTATGATGTAAGTATAAATTCTGTAATTTGAAATTTTATGCTACTTTGCCTAACTGCTAAATATATGTGGGGATAAACCTTGAGTAGACTATTATATATTTATTGAAAATCATTAAATAGGGAAATAGATGGGAAAAAATTGTATATACAGCATGCCTGTAACTGCAAGATATATTTTAAACATGAATAAAGATTTGAGGGAATCTTGAAGTAGTTGGTAGTAGATTGTGGTTGAATTTTTTTTTAGTTCAATTTTCTTTTATAAATTAAACATCTTATAATCATTTACTACTATGATTACTATTACTATTCTAATATGATTGATAGCATAGTGCCAATATTTGCATATTGCATATGGATATAATGTAATTCTGATGATTAAATTTTAGAAGGAAAAAATGAATTTATATTGATACCATTTTGGCTTTTAAATGGAAATCTTAGACCAGAGTGTTTGAAGGAACTCCCTTTCTGCTGTTATTAGGAATATTGTTGGCATAGTGTTATAATTGGGTAGTCCACCAGGAGAGGAACATACTTTTTTTAAGTAACAACTTTATTGATGTAAAATTCACATTCTATACAATTTACTCCTTTAAAGTGTACAATTCAGTGTTATTCAGTATGTTCACAGAGATGGTGTATAGCCATCACCACAATCTAATTTTAGAACGTTTCGTCTTCCCAAAAAGAAATCCCATACTCAGTAGCAGTCATTCCCCATTGCTTCCCTCTCCACAGCCCCTAACCATGAATCTACTTTCTGTCTCTGTAGATTTGCCTTTTCTCGATGTTTCATATAAATTGAATTATACAGCATGTGGCCTTTCAAGTGACCGACCTCTTTCACTTCACATAATGTTTTCAAGATTCATCCATGTTGTAACATGTCTCGGTACTTCATTCCTTTTTATTACTGAATAATATTCCATTGTCTGGATATTTTGTTTATCTAGTCATCAGTTGATGGACATGTGAGTTGTTTGCACTTTTTGGCTCTTACGAATAATACCACTGTGAACATTTGTGTACCGGGTTTTGTGTGGACGTGTGTTTCCATTTCTCTTGGGTGCATACCTAAGAGTGGAATCGTGGTAACTCTGTGTTTATCCTTTTGAAGAACTGCCAGACTCTCTTCCAAGGTGGCTGCATCATTTCACATTCCCACGAGCAGTGTACGGTGATTCCAGTTTCTCCACATCCTCACCAACATTTGTTATCTGTCTTTTATTATAGCCATCCTAGTGTGTTAAGTAGTATCTCATTTTAATTTGCATTTCCCTGATGGCTGATGATGTTGAGCATCTTTTTGTGTACTTGGCCATTTGTATATTTTTGGACAAATGTCTATTGAGGTCCTTTGGCCATTTTTAAATTGGGTCATTTGTCTTTTCATTATTGAGTTGTAGGAGTTCTTTATAGCTTCTAGCTAAAAGTCCCTTATCAGAGGACTTGATCAGATATAATGATTTGCAAAGATTTTCTGCATGTTACCTTCTCACTTTCTTGATGGTGTCCTTTAAGCACAAACATTTTTTATTTTGATGAAGTCCATTTAATTTTTTCTTTTACTATTTGTTCTTTTTGTGTCATATCTATAGAGGGGTATACTTCTGATTAAAATGATTTAGAGGACATACTCCAGAAAATACTACTGGTGAAAATCAAATGGTATAGTTTTGAGAGTTTAGCTATCTTGGGGAAACTGTATCATACAAAATATGTCAGTTAATAAGCAAGTTTTATTTTCCTTCTTAGTTAATCATTTGGAAGCTAGGACAGCCAGCAGATGGTGATTATTTCAAATCTCAAAATTCTTTTAAAGTAGCAGCTAAATAAATTGCTCAGTAGAAATCAGTCATCTGGCTAATATTCCTACAATATGTTTGAAATTCAAAGATACTTTTATAAATAAATCTATAGCTAAACATCAGGGACTAGTAGGTAGGATTTATTCCTAACATCTATCCATTTGTGTAGATTTAAATTATAATAACAACCGTATAGTATTTCATTGTATGGATGTGCCTTGATTTTTTTACTTTT